CTATTAATTTAATGTGTTCTTTCCATTTTAATCTATAATCTAATATTACTCCAATATACTTAATACTTTCTGATTTTTGTAGAATTGAATTAATAGTCATATTAATCTTAATAGAAAAAATACTTAAAAATACAATTCTCATAAATTTTTGGTTCTCTTGGAATTATTTGATTTGATTCTTTTGTATATATATATTCTGTTTCCTTTACAAACCTAATCAAACTTCCCATTATAGATTAATAAAATCTGCAAAACTTGCTATTTCTTCATTAAACTTAATTTACAGAAATTGTTTAAATATTATAAAAACGGTAAGGGAACTTAAACTGAAGATTGGGGTACTCCAGGAGTAACGTTTATTTATTTTAACTATTTGTTTTCCATTTCATATACATATGTGATTTAAAATAACTTAAAACAGTACCTCTAATACCAAATATGTACAGTTTTAGTAAAACGTCTTGTGAAATTGCATCAGAAGCTTTTGAAAAAGAGCTTATGTTATTTTTATCATCATTAATCTATTGATCACTATAATTAGTGCATCTTCTGTGTTCATGTTTTTTACGATATCAAAATTGACAATGTCAGAAAGAAAATTTATTGAATTTAAATTTTTACTCTTTTTTTTTTAAGTCTTCTCGAGAATTTTTGATATGACTGACAATAAAACAATCGGTTATTAATCATTCAATTCACTTTTATTTCCTACTTTGAATTTTGAAATATAAGCATCATTTTTTAATGATAAGTTGGCAAACAACAATTTATAAGCATAATGAAGTGATTATTTTGGGGAAACACTACATGTTTCAGCTGTGATGTGATCTTTTCCTACAACTGTTCAACTCTTTAGAGACTTTTAATTTTTTCAATTTAATATTCATCAGCTGGTTTTAGATACATTGACTTTACAGCTATGTTAGTTTAATACCATGTTTCAAATAACTAATCTGTATTAAAACAGTTATAAAAACTTTTACTTATAAGTTCATTTGCAATATTTATATAAGATTCATTAAGTGAATTTACATATAATTTGAGTTATTAAATAAACTTAATATATTTATTATTTACTGTTATACTTTCAAGCTTTTCAGCATACTGCGAGTGTTTGCCTGATGTCTCATTTATTATGTTCCACTGTTTTTTAATGTTAGTTTTACTGTGAATTATTTTTTGCTTATAGTAATTCATTTTGGTTTGTTTTATAAGCCTACTTAGACAGGTAACTAATTTTTATATTTCTATAGGTTTTACTTTATTTCATTTTTGTTGTTGAATAGATTGTAATAATCCTTATCTCATTCATTGGTTTTAACTTTTTTCCCTGTTTATTTTTACATATTATCTCACAGATTTTCAAAACAACTTAGGAGCGTTTTTTATTTTATATGCATCTTGTATATTTAATTTTTTATAGATACTACCGAAGTCGGTTTTATTATTATATCAGTACTTTTTAAAACTATGTTAAAATATTCTGTAATTCTAGTTTTGTGACTGCTATTTATATATAATGTATTTTACCTGTTCTACTATAAATATGACAGACACGCATTCACCTATTCTTTAGTAGTAGCCTGTATACAAAGACAAAAGCAGCTAACACATTTTTGTATTTTTTTACATTATTCTCTTCAGGGTTACTAGATGTCCTTGTTTTAGTTTTATTTTCTTTGTCACGATCAGGAACAGTAAAAGTATTAAATTATCCAAGTTTCTCTTTATCTCACTGCGAGTTTAATATTTACTGTATGTCATTATAAACAGCTCTATTATATTTTACTTGGAGAAGCACCTGACAAAAGATTTGAAGACCTGCCTAACTGCGAAAAATAAAACGATGAGGTAACATTTTCTTTCTGACTAAGTTCAACACAACTTAGATCAATATTTTGTATTTTTTTACCTATGTAAAACTTTAACAAATGATATTTGTCTATAGTTTTAAAACGCGATGAAATAAATACCAGACTGTTTAGCAAATGAAATATCTATGTAAGATAACATATATAAAAATTCTGTCATCGTTTGGCTTTCCTAAAATGACTTGCAAAAACATAAAAGACAGAAAACATATTTTAAAATATTTCAACATTTCTTGGATTTTTGTTCATTTTGTGAATAAACAGACTTGATTCAACATGTTATTTCTGCAGAATAATATTTATTACTTTTAGTTACAGATGGTTTTAAACATATATAAGTATATCAAAACTTTAATCCTTTAAAACGTCATAAGAATCTGTAAGTTTAAGTAACCAATTCCTGACTAAGTGCTGGACATAACCAATTTTTTAAATCTATCAAATTTTGTGACATGTTTCTGGAATTCTGTGAATTCTACATATTTTCTACATTCTATTAAAACACACAATTTAAAGGAAAAACAAAAACTCGTGTGAGAATATGAATTCCATACAAACAATTTTTTCACAACAAACAATATCTTATATTCACTAAAGAGATTTTATGCAACACACCAGTATATGGTACATTAGTCAGTGATGTAAGAAGACACTCTTTCAATGTAACTTGTCATGCTTCACCATATCCTTTATTATATAAAAAAATAGTTCAATAATGTATTCAAATACAGCCTGTAAGTTTACAATTTCTTATACATACATAGCTGGCAATTACTATTTTAGCTGTGTGTGCAAACTATTGTTATTTTACATAAAAAAACCAATGAAATGAAGCTCCTCCTACTGGAATTATCAAAACCATGTGAGAATCCCAAGTATATGCTATTTATTAAATTTTAACAGTTACATAACTTTAGAGACAGACAGTAGTTGTCTTACTCCTGGTTGTTACTTCCTTTAATAAGAACAGTGTAGTCTATCATTTTATAAAAACATACAGTTGTGTGATCGGAACATATATTTTATGGTTTTTAAAGATAAAAGTGCCAATACCATCAATTAGTTAGAATCAGATGTTCCTGAAGAAAACTGAGAAAAATAATAATAGTCTACCTAAAACAATAATTAATATTCCTCTTCTAATATACCCCTACAAAATTCAATGTAACTACAGATGAAAAAAATGTGTATCTGTAGCTATTACTTTACCAAAGATATCCAGAAGTAAAAATAAACCCACTTTTTTTTGTTAAAAAACAAAACAAAATGATTATATTAGAAAAATAATATTAACAAAAGCTAGTAACTCAGTTGACATACACATAATAAACAAAGGGTTGTCATGTATATCATAGTAATTTTATCATTTTTGCCACTTTCTGCAAGTGTAATATCCTTTTTTTCTAATTTCAGCTTATTTTAATGGAACAAGTGTTACTTTATAGTTTATGAAACGAAAAATAATACAATATACATATTAAACATGTCTAAGTTTATATATACTCGTACAGACATTTTGGGGTTAAACACAAAATATATAATATTAATATCTGACAGTGTCATCAGTTCCCATATATGATGTTCATTGCATTAACTTCTTTTTGTCATCAACTGTACAGTGAAAAAATGACTATTATTAGTAGTAATAATTACAAATAATGCTACCTCCTGACAGTTTCTGTAGTACACTGACTTGCCATGCAACTCTTGCATATGATTTTAAAAGGCCAAATAAGAATCTTCAGAAGACATTACATTCTTACAATACTTAAAAGTCTTCTATTTGTTATTATCTCTGAAACCTGGCTTTGTATAGACCAGCCAGAGCCTTGGCTGCCATAAACAAGCTCTCTCGGCGTGACACTCCCGTAAGGGCTGCCTGCCACTCTGTATGAGGAACACCCAAGGCTGGCCCAATGATATGTCCAATTGTAACAGCATAACCAGACCAACCTAAGGGGTAGTCTGGAGGGGTTCGGTCTTGGGCCTGAAGTAGATACTGTTGAGGCACTGGAGTAGCTTGGGTGAAGGTTTGAAGAGTAATACCTGATTTCATATCTTGTAGAATAAGGCAGCCAATATCATACCAACTGTAGATAAAATAATATTGTTTTTAAAGTGTTGTGCCAGTCATGAAAAAACATCTGCTTTAAAGACAAAGGTTAACTACTCTGTACCAGATATGTAGGAAAAAAAACGTTTCTGCTCACATACGTTTACAAAAAGCCAAGTACTTTATACTAGCTATTCAAGCAGTTCCTGCCAAGGTCAACCAAAGAGAAACCAACTACATTCTAAGGTGACAGTTTCTGTTCAATAAAATGATCATACAAGCATCTTAAGGTAACAGTGAATTTCATAGAATTACAAGTATGTTCTATTGAGCATGAATATTTTTTGCCCTTAAAGATTACAGGGTATAAATGACTTTCATGCCATAGCCAAAATTTTAATCAATAGACAAGTGTCAAGTTTTTAATATTATCATTAATCTAAAATGCAATTCTGTACACAAAATGTTTTTAAGAATACAATTATCACTTGCATAAACATGTTTCATATTTCTCACCTAGCATTTACCATGTGGCTGCAGTTTTCTACACTTTGTAAAAAAAAAATATGTGTAACATTTTAAAATATTATTTTGTATCCAACAGGATAAACAATCTCATTGTTCCAGTATAACATTTAAAGCACTTGAAGGTCAGCTCAAATATTGTTAAGATAGATTTTATTAGATGATCAGTTTTCAACTCCAATAACAACGCATACAAATACGTGTGAAGAGACCTACAACTTTAAGTTTTCAATAATTCAAAATTAACAACGATAACTTTTAAGAAGAAAGCCATCTTTATGCATAAGGTGTCTTTAGCTCTATTACATAAATATTTTAATGCAGTGCAAAACAGTTTAAAATATAAAATATTCTCAAATTTGAATTATTTTACATAAAATATTAACCTAAATAAAATAAATGTCAAAGCTAATTTATTTTTGGCTGTTATAAAATTGAGTATTTCAGGGTTCAGATTAGAACAAACAGCAACTAAAACCTATTATGTTAAACATCAACTGTAGTAGGAGAAGAATCAGGCTAATATTTTATAATATTATTGACAGTCTGATTAAATATAGTATATACACAATAATTGAAGTTACATTTTTTCAATTTCTTTTTCTTTTAATGAGATAATTAACTGAACATTCTTTGGTTACTAGACCATTACGAGTCAACTTAAATTTGAATAATAAATATATTTTTGTGCTCCTGTGGCCACACATCTATGGACTTATTTTTATCAAAGAATAAAACAAACTAGCCACAGTGCCTTGAGATTGTATCTTCCCAAAATTACATACAAAATTTAGTGAGTTATTGTGTAAGATATGAACAATTTTATTAATATGTTGTTAGGGATTTTCATAATTACCTTCAAAATACTTGTCTTGTACACCTTTTGTTTTAGAAAAATGAATTATACATATATTTACAGCTAAAGGTATTACACAATTTACTGAATCAATATCTTACCCATACTATAAATATGCTAAACATTCTGCTAGTTTTAAAGCCTTACTTGCCATACTTCTCGTGTTGGCTCTGTTGCTAAACAATAATCTATTCCATAAGCCGTTTCCATTTAGTATCAAACACTTATTAAATGGTTAATGTCAAGAAACTGGTGGCCATTGGTTACTCACCATTGTTCAGGAGAGTACACAAAGTTTCTTATACTGTGTTACGTATATCTATGATAATAGAACACTGTATATTCTTTATGATAATTAGCTAATGTAAATTTCTTATTAATATTTGTAACTTCCATTGATTCATGATGTTGGATGTACACTATTACAAGTACATGAATGCTGGATGTACATCAGTGGTGCAAAATTGAAGCCACCTAGCAACCTTTGCACCTACACCACCCATGTTTCCATTTCAAGGGGCTCCATATGTAGATATTCAAATAGATGATATTGTGCAATTTTTTGATGATGAACTTGGAGGTAAAATAATAATATAAACTATTAGGTCGTCAAGAAATTAATGATGCATTTTGGAACACATTCATTAACCACCACCCCCAAAAATGTACATCACATATAATAGTTAATGTGTAAAGTTTAGTATACTCTAATCCCTTATAGTGATGGCACACGACGAAACACACAAAGAAGTTCATGGAAATGTTTTGAACGTTCGTAAGTCTCAATGATGGTTCAGCAAAGTCCCTTAAGGTGACTTTAGCCTTAAAAACTGTGATGGCAGGGGCCGACATGTTGGAATTGATATTGATGCTTTAAAGATGCTTATTGAGTCTAACCCAAAACAATACACTCGTGAAATGGCCCTGAAATTGCATGTATCTCATGAAACAATACGTAAACATCTAAGGAAAATGGGAAAACTCCATAAAGAAGATGTTTGGGTGCCTCACAAATTCTCCGACGATCATCGTTTTCCAATGTGTGAATGTTGCTTTGTCTCTTCTGGCGCATAATGTGCATGAACCATTGTTGGATAGAATTATCACCGATGATGAAAAATTTATTCTATACGCGAATATTAAACGACAAAAACAATGGATCAATCCTACAAAAAAAATCACTTCCAACCCCAAAACCTGGACTCCATATGCGGAAAATGATGCTTTGCATTTGGTGGGACATCAAAGGAGTAATTCACTTCAATCTTCTCAATCCACAGCAAACTGTCAATGCAGAGATCTATAGTCAGCAATTGAAACGTTTAAATCTATCCCTTCATCAGAAATGCCCTTCACTCGTCAATTGGAAAGGTGTTCTTCTTCTCCACAACAATGCACGTCCACATTTGACACAACACGAGACTATAA